CCGTGTGAGTGGTGCCCCATCATGGGGCGGCGCCGCCATGCGGACTCTGCCACTGAGGCCTCTGGTGGGGCTCACTATGGGGCCACGAACGGTGTGAAGTGTGCGCAAACATGGGGCGGCGCCACCATGTGGACCCTGCCACTGGGGCCTTCGGTGGAGCTCCCTATGGGGCCACGAAGCGTGCGAGGGGTGCGCCAAAACGGGGCGGCGCCGCCATGCGGACCCTGCCACTAGGGCCTTCGGTGGAACTCCCCATGGGGCCACGAACCATGTGAGGGGTGCGCCGAAATGGGACGGCGGCGTCGCCATGTGGACCCTGCCATTGGGGCCTTCGGTGGAGCTCCCTATGGGACTACGAACCGTGTGAAGCGTGCGCCAAACAGGGGGGCGGCGCCGCCATGCGGACCCTGCCACTGGAGCCTTCGGTGGAGCTCGGTGGAGCTCCCTACAAGGCCACGAGCTCCCTGTTGGGCCACGAGTCGTGTGAGGGGCGCGGCGCTGTCGATGGCGATGCCGATGCTCATGATGATGTGGATCATGACGATGGCGATGATGATGACGATCATGACGCTGACGATGACGATGACGAGGCGGATGGGAAGAGGGAGGAGGGGGAGGAGGAGGGGGAGGAGGAGAGGAGGAGAGGAGACGCGGGGCGCTGTCTCTTCAAAACGAGGACCCAACACCACATAATGCTTGGGAATTGCAATACACTGAGCCCCTCCCCAGCGTAAAATGTTCCTTCTTCAGCGGCCCGACTGTAGCTGATTGCTGCGAAAGCTCGGATCTTTCACCATGCCACGCGCGCTCATGCTAGATGAAGGAAAATGCCGTAAACATAAACTGTCGGAACTCCGCGCGGGTTTCTTGGATCGGCGCTGGACCCCCCCCCGACAGCGAGATCGCACGCTCCTAGGCGGGGCTATAGCAGGCTCCCATCGGCGATACATGGGAGATGGGGGGTCGATGTGTCCCCCCCCTGAACCAGCCCCCCCCCACACCCGAACGTTAAGTCGGGCATGTCCCCCTACAGACAGAGTTTGGATGAAAAACAAGAAAGAGTCCAAAAATACGACCAAAATGGTCCAAACATATTTAAAAAAATCGTCCCCAGGCTATTTTTTGACTGTTTTTGAATCGTCCTCCTGCAGAGGGACACGCCCGACTCAATCCTGACTTTGCCCCTGCGGCAAGGGAGGGATCTCTGGTCTGCGGGCCACAGCGGGGGCCTCGGGCGGCCCTTCGGGATGACCTGGACACCCCCGGCATGCTCGCGAGAAGGCGAAGCGGGTGGAAACCGCCCTGAGGGCCACCGGAACCAACAAAAAGCGTTGCGCACCTTCGGAAACTCCCCCCCCTTGAACACGTTCCCACCCCTCTCGGAGGAGACCAAGAAGGTGCCGAGACCGCTGCTCCGTGGACCCCTCCCGGGGCGCGCTCTGACGATCATCTCGGGGCGAATCCAGCGGTGGCGACGAGGGCCTCCCAAGAGACCGGAAAAGGGGAAAACGGACGAAGGGAAGTGGTATCCAAGGCCGCGCTGACGGCATGCTTGGTTAACTGTGTGGTTGGGAATCTTGTTGTTCGTGACACCCAGCTCACGCAAAACAACATGTAGGAAATCACGAAACACCTTTTCCGACATCTCAAATATGCAAATGTATCGAACGAAAGCGACACAGCGGATTGCAAGAAAACGCGAACCACGCAAACAGTTGGCTTGGCCACGAACCGCGCCTTCCTGCAGTTGATTCTACATCTGCGCCGTTAGCGGACACACCGTTAGCGCGTCTACGGGTATGTGTACCTCGGCGGTGGACAGACATCCCTTTAGCAAACCCCCCCTTAGGGCAAACGGTCTGGGATCGAAACCGACGGACCTGGACCCGCAAAAACGACGGCCGCGACGCCCCCTCGCGAACCGAACACGACCAATTCGCTAATCGGGTAGGAGGTTCATCAACCTCTGGGTTCCTGGTCGATCTCCTTGTCGATCTCTTCATCCATCCCATTCCAAATCATCCACTGCTTGGGTTTTTTCCCTGGTGTAACTTTATGTTGCTCCCACCGTACTTAAGGACCGCATCCCAGAAATAATTTCGAGCACCCGGAAAAATGTCGAACGAGTGTCGAAAGAGTGTCCCAAACAGTGTCGCCCGAGCGTCTCACAGGGCCCGACACGTGAAAATCCCCTCGAGTGTCTGGATGCTTTTCCTGGCGCTCGACATTCGTTCTAGTGATCGAAGCTAAAGCAGGTCGGAACGTCATAAGTGCAACTCCTCCTCTGCCTGCCGCTTCCCCCGCTTTGGGACGCCCGAAATTGGCACGGAAAGAATGGGCACAATGCCCAACAACAAATGTTGCCCCACACCAGCAGCGGCCGCTGTTGGGCAGGCGGCCTTCTGCCTCGAATGGACACAGGCCGCGACGGCGTGGACAGCGAGCCCTGTTCCAAATGAACCAGACCCGCTGTCGGGCAATTGTACCTATTTTTTTGAAGGGGCCCCAGGACAAACACATAAATCCACACAAATAAGACTATCCCCCATATCTTTCCACATTTTCTGGGCTTCTGTCTTCCCCCCCACTCCCCATATGTTTCCAATCTTTTCTGGGGAATCGAGGACCCATTGTGCCTGTGTGTTTTTTCCTCTGCTGATTTTTCTCCGTGCCCCTCTCGTTCGTGCGGATCTGCGCCCGCAGCGCGGGAGAGCGGCCGGGGGAGGGGGGCGGCGGCTGCGCGTAGGGGGGACGCGCGGCCCGGACCGCGGATCGGCAGAACGGCTGCAGCAGGTCCCGCGCCGCCGCGATCTCTCGCCTGGGCGGCGGCGACGACGACGACGACGACGCCGACGCCGAGGACGAGGACGACCACCACGACGACGACGACGACGACGACGACGACGACGACGACGACGACGACGACAACGACGACGACGGCGACCTGCCTGGGCGGCGCGCCCCGGGGCCGCGCAGAGGCCGCGCAGAGGCCGCGCTCGGGCAGCCGCCAGCCATGGGACGGACACCCAGGGAACGATCAGCGAGGAACGAGGCCCCTTTTTTTCCTCGAGGAAGAAGAACGCACGCATCGGGAAGAACGAACGCATCAGGAAGAACGATCAACGAGGAACGAGGCCCTATTTCCCTACCTAGGCTCTGCCTAGAAGGGTTCTTACTCTTTAGCTTAAAGGGGCCAGGCAATGGAAACCGCCCCGGGCGGTTCCCCCAGTCCCCGCCCCGCGGTTCCCCCAGTCCCCTGGGAGCTTTAACCTTAGCTTTAGCTTTAGCTTAGCTTTAGCTTAGCTTTAGCTTAGTGTTAGCTTAGCTCTAGCTTCGCTTTAGCTTAGCTTTAGCTTAGCTTCAGCTTAGTGTTAGCTTAGCTTTAGCTTAGCTTTAGCTCAGCTTTAGCTTAGCTTCAGCTTAGCTTTAGCTTAGATTTAGCTTAGTGGTAGCTTAGCCTTAGTTTAGCTTTAGCTCAGCTTTAGCTTAGCTTCAGCTTAGCTTTAGCTTAGATTTAGCTTAGTGATAGCTTAGCATTAGCTTAGCTTTAGCTTAGCCTTAGCTTAGCTTTAGCTTAGCTTTAGCTTAGCTTCAGCTTAGCTTTAGCTTAGCTGTAGCTTAGCTTTAGCTTAGCCTTAGCTTAGCTTTAGCTTAGCTTTAGCTTAGCTTCAGCTTAGTGTAAGCTTAGCTGTAGCTTAGCTTTAGCTTAGCTTTAGCTTAGCTTCAGCTTAGTGTTAGCTTAGATTTAGCTTAGTGTCAGCTTAGATTTAGCTTAGCTTTAGCTCAGCTTTAGCTTAGCTTTAGCTTAGCGTTAGCTTAGCTTCAGCTTAGCTTTAGCTTAGCTTTAGCTTAGCTTTAGCTTAGCGTTAGCTTAGTTGTAGCTTAGCTTTAGCTTAGCTTTGGCTCAGCTTTAGCTTAGCATTAGCTTAGTTTTATATTAGCTTTAGCTTAGCTTTATCTTAGCTTTATCTTAGCTTTAGCTTAGCTTTAGCTTATCTTTAGGTTTAGGTTTAGCTTAGATGTAGCTTAACTTTAGCTTAGCTTTAGCTTAGCTTTATCTTAGCTTTAGCATAGTGTTAGCTTAGCCTTAGCTTAGCTTTAGCCTAGCTTCACCTTAGCTTTAGCTTAGCTTTAGTTTAGCTTTAGCTTAGCTAGTTTAGCTTTACTGTTACTACTAATGCTGCTTTCCTAGGGGCTCCAACTCCTAGGTAGGGTCGCACTGGGATATTTTTTTCCTCGAGGGAGAAGCACGAACGCATCGGGAAGCACGGACGCATCGGGAACGACAAACGAGGAACGAGGCCCCTTTTTTCCCTCGAGGAAGAGCGCACACGCGTCGGGAACGACAAACGAGGAACGAGGCCCCTAATTTTCTGTCAGGGCAGAACGCACGCGCGTCGGGAACGACACGCAATGACACGTATAGCGCACAGGGGAGCGATCCAGCACGCGCGCGAGCCCACGGGCCGCAGGCTTGTTTGCAGGGAGCGCCCCCCAGAGCGACGCCGGGGACGGGACAGGATCGGAGGACACACGTCGGCTTCGCGTCGTGCCGACTTCGGCGTTGGCCTCTGACAACCGCGGGGGTCGTTCAGCCCGGAACGAGCGGCCGTTCCCGAAGCGTCCAAAACTGTTGCAGATCGGCCTGACCCGAGGCACGATGAAGGCACGAAGCCCCTCTTTTTCCAGGGAGTAGCGCACAAGGAACGATAAACAACACATAGCCCACAAGGGGCGATCCACAACGCATGCGAGCCTAAGGAACGACCGAGCCCCTGTTGAAAAGTAAGTGTTCCTTTTCCCAAGCCGCTCGCTGTACGTTTGTCTGCAGAGCGTCCCACAAAGCGAAACCAGGGACGGGACTAAGTTGGAGGACAGGTGGGGGAGGTCTGGGTGCCAGCGGGTCTGGCAAGTGCATCGGGCGCCGCAGCCGTTCCAGAACGTTCCAGAACGCTCCGAGAGCGTCCCGGAGCGTTCCGGAACGCTGTGTAGCGATTTGTCCCGTTTCTAGGCCTGCCTGAGAAGAAGGATCCGAACCCGTCCAGAAGCCAAGTAGCCAGGAATCAGGAGCCCGACTACTTCCCCTGCCGACGGCACCCTCATGCCGACCAGGCGTCACGCACGGGCGTGCAGCGCAAGAGAAGGCAGAGGCGGCGGCAACGATGGCTCAGCAGGTCTTACCGCCAAGGGTTCAAGGTCCGAGCCGAACCACACGCGCAGCTGCCTTCCCATTCCTGCTGGTAAAGCCCACCTGCGCGCCCCGCGCGCGCGCGTTTGAGTTTAACGTGAACGGCAAGTGGGAGCTTCTCAATGACGTGTTTGAAGGGGCCCTGGGACACACACACACACAAAGACTCACACACACACACAAAAAAAAAAAACGAATAACCAGATTCCCCTATATTTCCACATCTTTTCTTGGTTTTTGTCTTTCCCCCCATTGTCCATATTTCCTTATTTTTCCTGGGGAATCGACGATGAATTGTGTCTGTGTGTCTTTTACCCTCCTGAGTGTTGCGTGCAACGTCGTAGGCTGCTGTCTGGACGACCGCTGTGCAGGGCGGCGCATGCGCCTCGCCCAGTTCCTCTGCTCTCTGCCCTCCCCCATCCCCCCCTCCACAACCTCCTCTTCCCATCCGCCACATCATCCCTCCCGCTCCATTTGCTTCACTAGGTTTCCCGCCCTCCCTGTCCTTAGCCTCGGCCCTCCTCATCATCCTCCTCCTCGTCCTGCGCCTCCGTGTCCTCGTCTCCCTCATCCTCCTCCTTCTCCTGCTCTTCTCCCACTTCTACCTTGCCTTCCCGCATCCTTATGGTTCTGCTCCCATTACTGTTCCTTAGCAATCGCTCCCTCCCTCTCCTACTGCGCCCTCGCTTATCACTTGTGTCCCTCCGTCTATTCATTGTCCTCCTTCTCGCCCTCGTCTTCACCATTTCCCTCCTCTGCATCCCCCTGCTCCCCCCTCCCCCCTCCTCCTCATTCTACCCACCCGCCGCCCGTTCCTTCTGCCCGTCCTCCTCCTCCTCCTCCTCCTCCTCCTCCTCCTCCTCCGATTCCTCTTTTTCCACCCTCTCATCCGCCCGCCCTCCTCCTGCCCACCCTCCTCCTTTCCCCCCCCCCGTACCGAACCCGAAGAAGCAAACCTCTTCCTCGCATTGGTTGCGTCCTCCCTCCCCCTCCTGCCTCTCTCTCTCGCCCTGCTGGGCCTCTTTCGCGGGATGAGGGGGACCCTCCCAAGACGAGCCCAAGCCTCAGGACGAGCCCTGTCTGGGCGCTCCCCTGGCACTCCCGAGGCTCTCTGGGCCTCCTCCTTCCTCTTGCGGGCCTGGGGGGGGGGGGGGGCGCTGCCAGGGCTGGCCTTCAAAACAGGCCGCGCTCGAGAGCCTCCGGAACCAGACACGTCGAGTGGTGCGTCGCCCTCCCCCGCCACCCCCCCGCCCCCCCCCAGTCAATGAACTACTGCCCTGAGCGGGACGCACAGAGACACACTGGTACTATGCGTCCTCCTTGGAGGCGCGCGTCCGAGACAAACATTATAGTATATACCCACCTCGTGGCAGCCACATCGTTTCCCGAGCGGCGTGGCCGGGAAGCGCCCGCCACGACGCAGGTGCTGTGAAGATGTCTCGGTGCGCGCGTCGCTCCTGAGGGGGAACGACGCACACATGCAGCAGAAGTATGCTGGGGTGGCGCCCACTGCGGGGCCACCCTGGGCACATGCTCGGACTTTTGTCTTTCGGGCCCAGCACAGCGGCAATCGCAAGCGGCTCGGCGACGCGTCCGCACGCCTCGGCCTCGTCCGTCGTGCCGCCAAGCTCTACGAGCTGGCCCAGCACGCGTCAGAGCACAAACGACGCGACGAGCGCCAAACTTAGAATAATATATTGGGTGGTTATGCGGCATGCCCACCGAGCATTTCCTGCTGCGTCTTTGCCAGAAATGCCTGTCGGGCTGTGCGGAAGGTTCTGTACGACACACCGCCAGAATGGCCGCCACTGTATTGAAGAGGTGCGGAACCATACGTTGAGCTGGGAGGAGGGGGGCAGGACAGAGGAGTCGGAGGATGCCGGTGATGAAGAAAAAGTGTGACTCGAACTGTTGCAAGATCTTCATACCTGAAGCACGGCAAATTGGGGACATCGCCGTCCATCGCTAGTGTGCGATGTTTGCCCGAGCACCCACCAACTCACGGTGCCTCGCCTGCCGGCGCTGCAGTGCGATGGGAGGGGCAACAAAGAGCATCCCTCACGATTCGACGATTGAGGGAAAGCTGGGACGGCAGGATTTCATACAGGAGGGAACGGGGGGTGAGGATGACGCGTGAGGGAGGGTTCGGAGCGAGCCATTCGCGAGGGCCCGCCCTAGTATCCCAAGAAAGCGCCGACGAGGCTGGGCCCACCCTGCATCACACTTTGACCCCGAACGTCTCAGCGGTGATGTCCACCAGGTATGCCGCGTAAACCAGGATGAAGAGAACCCCGTGGCTCTTCAGCAGCCCGAAAGTGGGCGGCCATAGCGAGACCAGCAGCAGCAGCGCCAGGGTGCCCATCATCCAGAGAACGCCCTGGCAGGATGACCAAACATCGAACAAGGAAGTCGAATCGACCATGAAATGCAACAGACACGCCGCACGTTAAGAAATCTGGCCATAAGAAATCTTGGGGCACACTTTCCGTCGATCGTTGAGGATCCTAAGTTGCCCCAGGGCTTCTGTGGCCCCAGAAGTCCATCGGGGGATGAGAATCTTCCGTGGGGCACCTGCTGCAAAGCAAATTTCTAATTTGGGGTGCTCACTGTACGTCGAGTTGACAGACATCGGCGGGCAGATGGTGAGGCCTCGAACTCAACGACCGGCGGCCCAAGTCGAGGCCTACGCAAGGACGTCCAGACCGAAATCGGACGCATTGAATCCTCGAGATCGGATCGAAATCGAAACCAGAATCGATTCGAAAACAAAGTCGGATCGAAACTGCATCGAGATCTTTCAAATCGGATCGACTCGAGCTGGCAGGGGCCGCGCCGGCGACCGCCTCGTCGATGCCCGCCACGTCCTGCGAGATGGCTCCGAAGCTCAGCATCTGCGCAGAGTAGAACGCCCAGGGCAACGCCATCGCGAGGAACACGTTCTGCACGTTGGACCCCAGGGCATTGGCGACCGCTGCAGCGGGCTGCCCCTGCTGCGCCAGTATGACGGAGGCGATCGCGTTCGGGAACGATGTGCCCACAGCGCACACCGTGATGCCGAGGAAGCTGGTGGGAATTGCTGGTATATGATAGTGGATGCAGTCGCAGGCTTCCAGCAAGAAATACGACTGCAAGCCCAACCAAAACATACCGCCCAAGAAACACAGCCCCCATCGCCCCTCGTTCCGGATGTCCTTCACGTCGACCACGGACAGTGTGCTCATCAAGCATACGTTAACGATCAACTCAGGAAATGCTGAGAGTTTCTCCACTATGCTGCTATCTGCCGTCAAAGTACGCTTGAAGCGGACAAACGCGGAATGAACAGAGGCGTCGTACTCGTGCTCCCAGGGCTTCCCCAGAGAATACTCCCTGACCTTCGCCAGCAGCTCGTCGCGCTCCACCGAAGTCCCACACCTCACCCTCAAAGTCACGTGCTCCCAGACGTGTGGCCAAAACTCGAGGTCCATCACGCCCTCTGACCGGACAACAACCTCCTTGAGGTCCTTGTAGAGCAGCCTGGGCCCCGCCAGCACCGCGTCCTGGACGTCCTCCAGCTGCGGGCCGAGCGAGGGCCTCCGGGACTGCCTGACGGTGCGCTGCGACGTCCACAGGGCGACGTCGATGCCGGTCTCCACGGCGAAGTCGTTGGCGTCCATCGTCCTCTTGAGGTGCGTGGCGTCCGTCATGCGGCTGTGCACCACCTCCTCGACCTGCACCGTCACCCCGTGGAAGGAGCCCGCCCGGCTGCTCCTCCTGGAGACCTTGCCGTCGGGCAGGTCGCCGGGCTGCCCCGCGGGCGGCGCAGCGAGGCCCGCCGAGGACGGCAGGGCGGCCTGGGCTGCGCCGGCACCCCACAGCATGTCGGCCACGTCCGAGGTGAAGTACACCGCCGCCACGTACAGCATCGCCGCCGCAAGGAGCACGAGCGACTCCCAGAACTCGACCTGCTTGTCCGAGAGCACGCAGTAGAGCAGGCCGACCGACAGGCCGTAGAAGAACACATCGCGGGCGAAAGGCGCGAGGTCGAGCTGGAGCGGCAGGCTGTGGGTCGCCATGATCGTGGCGCCGATGATAACGAGCAGGTTGAAGATCTCGGAGCCAACAACCGTCCCAATGCCCGCGTCGCTGCCCGTGTACAGGGCGATGAAGTTGCAGAAAAGCTCTGGGCCGTTGCACCCTAGCGCGCAGATGGTGGCTCCGGCGACTGCTTCCTCGCCCCACCTCTGGAGCCAGGCCTGCTCGCTGGCCCGCATCCTGTCCACGAAGACGTTGATGGCGGGCATCAGGTACGCGTCGCACGTGGTGTGCTTCGCCCAGAACATCAGGCCAACGAAGAAGAACCACAAGATCCCGATCGACACGTACCGGTTCTCCTCGGTGGCGGTCACCTTCAGGTAGGAGGGCGCCAACTGTACACTTAGGTCGGGCATATCCTCGTACAGGCCGATTTCGGAGGAAAAATGAAAAATAGCCCAAACAGATTCAAACATGACACGCAGAAATAACAAATAAATAGTCCCCATACTATTTTTGTTTGGCAATTTTTGAATTTCCCCTGTGGAGGGACAGGCCCGACTTAACTGTACGCCGACACCGATCCTGGCAGGACCCGTGCCGGGCCCGGGATCGGCGCGCACGCCCCTGGACCCGTGCTGGGCCCAGGATCCGGGTGTTGCTAGCAGTACCCCTGGCCCAAGGTGCCCCCAGCTTTTCGCACCAGTTTTGAGCCCCTGGGACCTTAGTGGGCCCCGGAAACGGCAGGGCCGTTCTTTCACCGTTTCCGAGAAAATGCCCCTTGAACAGGGAAACGGCAAAAAAACAGCGACCGGAAACGGCAAAAAAAAAGCTCCAGGATTGGAACCGGAGCCGGAACCGGTCAAAAAACGGCGACGGAACCGGTAAAAAAATGGCGTCGGAACCGGCAAGAAAACGGCAAAACGGAACCGATAAAAAAACGGCCCTGTCGTTTCCAGGGCCCACTAAGCCTGGGACCCCCTGGGCCTCGTGAGGGGTGCCCTGGAGGCCGTCTGGATCATCCCGAGAATCCTGGGGGTACCTTGGGCCAGGGGTACTTCTAGCAACACCCGAAGGATCTGCTCCCTTGGCCAGTGAGGTATCTAAAATTGAGTCGGGCGTGTCCCCCTACAGGGGGATTTCGGACGAAAAAGGAGAGGAGCAAAAAAAAACATCAAAAAATGCCCCCACATGGTCAACACTACTAAACAAAAAACGTCCCCACACTATTTTGGGACTATTTTTGAATATTCCCCTACAGGGGGATTTTGGACGAAAAATGAAACAATAGTCAAACAATGCCCCCAAATGGTCAACAAATACTAAACAAAAAATCGTCCCCACGCTATTTTTGGATTATTTTTGAATCTTCCCCCTGTAGAGGGACAGGCCAGACTTACATCTGAACGAATCATGGGCCCAAGATCGGCCTGCTCAGGATCGGTATCGGTGCGGGTGACAAGCTGACGCCCCCCTGAACTTGGCGGCGCGCACAAGGGGGTGGGGGGAGGGGGCAAGAGGGCCCTCTGCGCGTGGCTGAGGCAAGCTGACGCCCCCCCGAACCTTGAGATCAACGGCAGCCAACGCGCCAGACGGGTGGAAGCTTGCAGCGGCATGTCCCGCAGACTCGCCCGCCACGGCCGCTCCGGCGGGCGTCCCGACGCCGCCTCGCCCGACTTCGCCTGCAGCAGGCGCGCCGGCCACCTCCGGCGCCCCCCGCGGGCCCTCGACGGCTGCGGCCGAGCTCGGGCCGCCGGGCAGCTGCGGGCGCTCCACGGCAGCCTCGCCCTGCGCCGCCGGGGAGGCGCCGGCCGCGCCCGCCGGGGAGAGGCCCGCGGCCCCTCCTCCTCCCGCGGACTTGTTCGCCGCGGCCGCGCCGGCGGGCACCCCGCGGGCGCCCTCCGCGCCGCCGGCCTCCCGCGCGGCGGCCACGGGCGCCCTCCGCGGGCCCCCATCGGGGGCGGGCGGGCCCGCGCTGCGGGGCAGCGGCGGGCGAGCGCCCGGGAGCTCTGCGGGCGCCGGGGGCGCGGCGCCGTCCTGCGCCAGCTCGGGGTGGCCTCTCCAGTGCGTGCCGCCGGGCGGTCGCCGCGCAGGGCCGGGTGGCACCGGAGCGGTCGACCGCGCAGCGCCGGGCGCGCTCGCTGCGTCTGGAGGCAGCACCACGTCGTGCCGCTGCTGGAGCAGGAGCACGCGGCGCGGGGCGTCGTCCCAGCAGTCTCCTTTGGCTTCCACGGCGCACTCCTCCAGGGAGCTCGCCAAATTGGGCACGTTGGCAAGGCAAGAAAAACATAGTAAAAAACAAAACGAGTTAGTCGCGAGACAAGAGCCCCGCAGCGCCATGGACGCTGGTAAGCAGCACAGAAGGCTGCGGGGGAGCGTGCCTACGATGCAAATATGTAGGCGTCAAGCCACGCGACGCCTTGAGCCACACTTTCTGTGGCACGAGCCAAGCTGGCTGGGCCTTGAGCCGACAGGCCGCAAGAGACTTCGGGATCCTCTGGCTTTCTAAAACTCGCAGGGCGTTGTGGGGGGGGGGAGGAGGAGAATTAGGAGGAGGAGGAGGAGGAGAATTAGGAGGAGGAGGAGGAGGAGGAGAAGGATGACGTTCATGCTCGTCAGGGGCACGCCAGTCGTAGCGGCCTTCAACGGCGCGGCGTCCTGGCTGGACACCTCGCCCCGACAGCGACCCAGGAGACGAGGCCGACCAGCGGACGCCCGGGCCTCGGAGCCGCTCGAGCGCGAGGGCGCCAGCCGCTCGAGCGCGAGGGCGCCAGCCAGGTGGAGCCGACGTCCCCGTTCACTCGTAGAAGCACAATGGAAGGGGCCCTGGGACACACAAGTACATACACACAACTATAACAAGATTCCGCATCTTTTCCCATGCTTTCTGTGTTTTTGTCCCCCCCACACACTTCCCATCTCTTCCCGCATTTCTGAGGCAACGACGATTCATTGTGTCTGTGTGTTTTTCCCTCCTGGACAACCAACGGCATATAGGTGAACTGTCGGCGCTCCACGCGGATTTCCTTGGATCTGTGCTGGGCCCGCCTCCCTGGCGCTCGGAGCGCGCCATGAGCTGCGCCAGGGGCGCCGCTAAGAGGGGGGTTTGGCGCCGATCCAAGACATCCGCGCGGAGCTCCGAAAGTGTATGTTTAGGTCATGTTTTCCCATATCCTGGGATGCGGGTCTTGTGTTCACTCAGACGCCGTCGGACCTCCTCCCGCACAACTTACACCCTCCTTCTCCTCCTCCTCCTCCTCCTCTTCTTCCTCAGACTCACTCATACTCAGACTCACTCATACGCATAATCACTCGCGATCAGACTCACTCAGATTCAGACTCATTCCCACTCAGACTCACTGAGACTCAGTCTCACTCAGACTCACTCGCGCTCAGACTCACTCTTCCTCACTCAGGCTCAGTCACACCACTGTCTCACTCAGACTCACTAATTCTCAGAACCACTCACACACAGACTGTGAGGATGCCTCCGGCGAGGGTTTGGTTTTAACACCACCAAGGGGGGCCGCCAGTGACACTCCAGGATTGGCGCTCAGATTGGGGGGGTGTCTCAGGCGGTTTGTCAGTTTGGGTGCCCAGCATCCCCTGCTCCCGGAGCAGATTGTGAGGACGTGTCAGCACTCCGAGGGGGGAGCCCACAGGGGCGGGGGCACTCCCACTCAGATGATCTCAGACCTCTCACACACACGCACTCACGCTCACGCTCAGACCACTGACACTCAAATACACTCAGACCTCGCAAGCTCACAACCACACTCAAATTACTCACGTCCACGCACTCATTCGCATCGGAATGCTCACACTCAGACTCACGCTCAGACCCGCTCACACTCAGAGTGCAGCAGGGTGGGGCCGAAGCGTCAAGCGAGCCCCCTTACAAACAAAAAGCGGTCCTTATTTCAGAGGCCCGCGCGAATTTGTTGGGTCGGTGCTGACCCCTCCAGCTTGGCGTCTCCCACGCCGCCCCATGGCGCGCTCCGCGCGCCGGTAAGGGGGGGTCCAGCGCCGATCCAAAAAATCCGAGCGGACCTCCGAAATTATACCTTTCTGCCGATGCATGTGTTTCAGGGGTTAGCGCATCATGACCCGAGGCGCGCACGCGGACAAGGGGGGCCAGGGGACTCATTGACAGAAGAGAATGAATGGGCCACGAAATCTGGAGATTTCGTCGCCCTGGCCGTGATATCGACACACACACACATTCCTCGCTCTCTTCTTGCGCGCATCCGAATGGAGTCCACGTCCAACCCTTGATCCCCAAATGCTAGCGTTTCGAATTTGTTTCCGCCGGTTTCCGCTAACCTTCCGCCAATCCTCTGGCGCAGCCACCTCCCGTTTACGTCCGCGGGCGTCCGTTGGCCATCTGCCCCCTTCCGCCGAGGAAGAGATGCGAACCTCTCTCCTTGAAGGAGGTACCCCTGACGCAGCGTGCCATGTGCGACGCGACCTGCGTGCCGATGGCGTTCGCGTGCTCAGCTTCTGTGATGAGATGCGGACTTGAGAGCGGCAGACCAGCGTGTCTCGAAGTGGCGCAAGGCGCAAGGCCAGACGTGCCACGCTGCGCGCTACCGCCTTTCGAGTGCTGGCGCGATCTCATACGAGCGATAAGGTGTCACATATAGACGCCCAGTCGACAACATCAATACTGGATAAAGTCAAACTCTTGGACACACATTCTATATCAATGAATTCAACTCGAGCAACCTCCCCTCCCGTCTGTAGTTCAACTATGCACTCTGTCGGGCGGGACACATATCGCACAACAGTTTGGCAACCAATGTCCCCAAACTCTTCTGAGGCGCCTGCCCAGAAACGAAAACAAACTGCTGTGTCCATCAAGCAGCGTCTCTTCTTGGCAAAATTACGCGGAACGCCAAGTCTCATCCGACCATGTTCACGGTGCCTTCGTGCTCTGGCCAACTGCGGAATGCTCATCCGCCTTTGTCCGCTTGGGAGCGCCGGCCCCGTGCGGAACCCACGTTTCCATCCTGTTTCTTCCGCTTTGCAATGGCATCCCTCGTGCTCTTCCACTTCTGCCCGAGACCGGGTGATGTTCGGACGTGGTGCCGAGATGTTCCTGCGCCGAGTGCTTCGAGCGCGGTCGTCCTTAAAACAATGTAAGCACTTTCGCGCGCCGCCTCCTGAGGGGCGAAAGCAACGTCGCAACGGATGGCCACCCGACCCGTCCAAGTACACACCAACTAACTGCTTCAGGTCTTCCAGGCTTCCCACCGTAGGCCGCGGTGCCCTATTTGTTGTGCGGACGTCGGTCCCTCTTTGATTTTTTGGCGCACGAGACGGGTCCGACGCGGCGCAAACCTTGCAAGTCTGCAGTAAGCCGCGGAGGACACGCTCGCGCAATCGGCCACCGCGCCTGCGCAGAATGGGTATGTTAGAATGCTCGCCGGTTGCCCGGCACTATCTTGTGTCTTCTAGGCGCAGCGCAGGTCCGATCGCGGGTGGAGGCCGCGCGCGCCCGACAAATGGAGACGGCGAAGGAAAACGAGCAATCAAACTCGCCTCTCTGAGACATGAAAATTGCAGGCAGGCTACTGCGAGGTCATGCAGTCTACCAAATCGCCATCGAAAGCTGCTGCGTCGAACACCCGTGTGCCATGAAATACATATGAAGGCGGCGTGGCGCGCTTGCTACTCAGATACTTGTTCACGTTATCTGTCCAACTTGTCCTCGGGCGCCCCGGGGGCCGCTTGCCTGAGAGATGGGGCATGTTTCAGCACCGCCTTCGGACGCGCTAAATCGACTTGAAAGGTCCCGTGAACGAGGCGTCATTGCAGCCTGTCAAGATTGGCAACCAAACGGAAACGGGGCGCTGCGACAGCGCGCTCTGGAGACGATGTTGGCACCGTCTGCTGGCGTCTTCCCAATCTTCATCTGGCCGTTTCCAGATGCCGCCGGCTTTGCGCAACATGGCTGATCTCGCAGCAACAATCTGAATGCGTCGCTGCTGAATCAGCGCGTGCTTTGCCAAACCGCGCGCGGCTGCAGGCGAGGCCGCGCTGTCGCAAACGCGAAGACGCAATTTGACAAACAAATTCTCGTGGGTCCAAACCGCCCATTTGGCGCGGCACTTGGCCCGCGCGCACTCCACGCGATAGACGGCGTCGATGTTCGATATACGCAGCATGTTCCCAGACAGCTTTCGCCCGAGATGTTTGTGCACGTCTGCGTCAAGCGTCGCCCGTAAACTCTGCTCGCCGAAGGCGCCGCCAGGACATCCGCGGCCATGGAATACCCAGGGTCATTCGTGAACACCTTGGTTTTGCTTACATTCAGTGCCGACCCGTCTCTCGACAGCTCTTCGCATGGAACTTCCAGCATAAACGTTGCGTCGCCAACAGTCGTGGCCTACAGCGGCAGATCATCTGCGCGCCGTCTGTTCGTCAATCGCTCTGGCCCCCCAACGTCAATGCCATTCCCGCGATATCGGCCCACGAAACGCCTCGCGGCGCGCTCTAAACCACTGTTGAACAAAGGCGACGACAGCACGTCTCCCTGTTCGACGCCCAGGGTGATCTCAAACAGCCCGCCGCCGTTGACGCCCGCGCGCTGGTTGCGGCAGGTGCCCGGCAAAAGCCGGGCGCGTTCAGCCGGGGCGCCTTGCTCAATGCTCAATGCGGTCGAAGGCCTAGGTCAAGTCGAGACTGACAACCCACAGGGACTGCCCCCACTCGCAAGATGTGCAACGTAGCTCCTCCAGAACAATGATGGCGCCATTAGCTGAGTCTCCCGGCAGAAAGCCGCATTGGTCTGAGCGCTGCGATTTCTCGGGTTTTGGCTGAAGACGCTGGAAGAGCACGTGCGCGAACATGTTGTAAGTCATGCGCAGAACCACTATGGGGCCGCCAATTCTTGACCTCACGCATGCTGCCGCCCTGTGGAAGCACGGCGAAAAGAATCTTCTGCCGGTCTGGATTGGACGAAGGGCGCCAGCGTGCAACCTAGAATTCAAACGCCCCAGCGCAGCTTGAAGCAGGCCGCCCCCGCAGCAGAAACATTCCCATAATGGCCCTGGCTGAATCTGAGCATCTGCCTGGGCGCATTCTCGGGAGCACGAAACGCATTTCGCACATGGGAAACCATGGGATGTCAAACGGGCCTCCGTTGCACATCGTCGGTCCACTCCCGCCTCTCCTCCGGCAGATCCACGTTTGAAACTTGGCTCCAAGAGCGCCTTAAATCCCCATTGTCGATCGGGCAGCGCACCTTCGGCCTGACAGGGTGCATATGGATCGCTGGCAGATTCTCCAAGCCCTTGAACGCGTGTAAAATCTTCACAACACGCGGCTCACAATGCTGTCAGAAGTGTTACCGATTTCTCCAGCTGGTCAACCTTGATAGTTAACAAAGCTCGGCCAGGTCCTTCCATCTACGTCGTTGATGTCGTAGTGCCTGGAGCGCCTCGCTTTCCCAGGGCTTGGCCTTCGCTTTGCGCGATTCTTCGCGCGCGCAAGCTACTGTCGCCGCCGTCAAAACGC